GGTGTCCTTTTATTGTTACACCATAACACAGTTTCAGGTTTTTGAAGTTTTTATACTGATTTTGATTAAAAATCTCCAATAAGAGTTTTCTGATTTTGGTTTTTTTAAAACATTTGAAAATTCATACTATCAGTAAAGATACCCTTCAAAAGGGTTTATAATATTTCTATTTACTGATCTGCTATTTTCATGACAAAATTGACACTAAACTCTGGTGTATTTTTACTCTAATCTTATGGTATATAAAAAGCATTTGTCTCTTTTATAAAGTTGGCTTAATTGATTATTTGTGTTATTGATCAACGTAACAAATATAAATAAAAAAACATAAATATATATATATATATATATATAAAAATATTTAAAAATAACAAATCACAAATAGATTTAAAAAGAAATTGTTTCTCTTGTTATAGATAATTGTTTTTAAAATTCAGCAAACTATAATTTTTTTGATATATCAATTTCAATCGTTTATTTCCACGTAAATTATCATGTTATCAAAGTTTTCAATTCCTAATTATATGGTGGGGCAATTCAAAAAGTTTTTCTATAATGATTTGTTTCTAAGGCTAAATGTGACGCCTTATATAAATCTGGACAAACTTTTTGTTCTGCGACAGCAATTTTGGTTTTTAAATATGCTTTTTTTCCAAAACAGCTGCCAAAAAATAATAAAAAAATATTTTTCTGCAAATATATGCATGTAATATATCATTACATATGTTTTTTTTGAATGCTGGGTCTAAATATTACAGAAGTTTGTCCTTTAAATAGCGTTTTAGATTAGGAACATGTGTTTCTTGTCTAAAAGTATTGCAGAAAAACATGGGAAATGTTTAAAACTTTATAAAATATTGTGAGGGTATGCGTGCACCTACTTGGGTGCACGAACTTGACTACTTAAGTGCCTATGTTATCAGTAGCATATTCATTCTGGTATAAATAACGTACCTACGTGACCGAATAAAGTGCTTATGTGACCAGCAGCACATTGGTTTTGCTGTAAAACCAATTGTTTTAGCACTGACTTTTCATTTGAGGTTTCCACACACACTAATCCACCATACCAAAGAACACAGATTGTTCAGTCAAAACTAGAAGAAATACTGTAACTTGGGATATTGCGGAGGTTTTTTTTTATTTATTTACATTAAAATTTTTTGAACCAATAGATTTAGTTTGTTCGTAGATTTGGCGCGAGTATTCTTTTTATTCTTCCTCACCAAGATGTATTGAGAACGTTCAAGTTTATTATGTTTCCATGTATGTCCGTAAAAAAAATTTTTCTTTACATACATAAAATTAAATGTTCTTAAAACGACTAAAAAACCTGGCCAGTTTTTTGACTAAATATTATTTCTGTGTTCAGTATTCAAGAACTATCGCTACCGCTTCCTGACCAAGCTTGTAACCAAAGACCATAGACCATGTGCTATATTGAGAACACTCATTCGGGATCTGAAGGTGTGGTAGCCTACAAATTCAAGCTGAAGTGTCTTGTGATGTTGGCAGACTCTACTGTAAATAAAGTAAAAGGTGCTATAGATTTTTGGATGTTAGGTCGTTCCGGAGATTGAAGCATGTTGTTAAAAAACTGAGATGATAAGGATAAAAAAAAATTTAGGATTTTGTTAGCATATAAATTAATATTGGGCATCGATCATGCTATCGCTATGGTATTTCACAACACCGAGCAAAGAATAAGTGTTCAGAAACTGATGGACATATCAGTTGGACAGAAAGCATTCTTGTTTCCATCAACTTTAATACACATTCTTGGATAAATCATCATAGCCAAGTTACTCTTGCCTATTGTGATACTCACTCCTTATACACAGAATACAAAGGCTGGGTGGATCTTTAAAACATTAACATTTGCAGAATCTGAGGTTTTTGTTTTTAATTGCTTTGGGTGCGTTGATTAAATGGCAAAAGAGTTTGTAACCAGGAGACAATAAATCCAAAATTATTTTGAAACGACTATGGGCAAAAACTCCAATAAACTTGTACTAGCTCTATTAGTTTAAATACAGAATGATTGGTTCATTCTCTGTTCAGAAGTGTATGCTGAAGTATGCAATATTTTATTTTTTCTACAATAAAATTTGTTTTGTTTTAAAAAGAGAAGAACAGACAAACCAAGAACACCGCTCCAGCTTGAATATGATTCAAGCTGGAGCGTCATGTTGGAGTTTTTCAAAGAAAAATTATCAAAAGTGAAAGGAGCTAGAAGTTTTGACCTAAACTGTGGCAGAGGAAAGCTTCTTGCTGCTATCTTGGCTGATATTAGAGACACATTGATTCGACAGATAAAAGAGATCAGTCATCAATCCAGCTCCTGGTGAAACTAGATCAATAAAGACCGTTTCTAGAAAGAAAGTTTTGACAAAGAATCCTTAATTGCTAAATTCAGATTTTGTAGAATTATCTGAATAATGAAATCTCTGAAGATAGCACCTGAAATCAATTTTAACAGTAAAAAGTCCAGATCATTACAAAATATGGGTGATACATTGTATGCATGAAACTATTACAGAATTAAATTCAACAACCTCAAAATCAAACAAATAAGTCAGATGTTAAGAGACAGTATTGAAAACCACATTGATATTGAAAGTTATTTGACTTAAGATAGGATGTGAGAAATTTTTTTATCAAAGAATCAAAGACCTTAGTAATAACCAAAGAAAAATGATTAAACAAGAGAAGCTTGAGTGTTTTGAATGTCTAACAATGGGTTATCCTGTTTAATTGGGATGGAAGGAAGAGAATGGATATAAGATTTGAGGGTCAAATTAGAACGAAGGTTCTTTGCAAATATTTCTGCCTTATCTTTAGGATAGGTAATAGGATACGTAAACAACCGGAGTTGATATTTGACCGGGGCAAGGTTTGATAAAATAAAGCTGCGGCTGGGACTAGGTTTGTGACCCGGGCTGCATTAACATTTATACATTCTTAAGTACAAGTAAAGTTTTTTCAAAATTTATGTTTGGTTTTGTATATACATGCATTTATAAGCATCATTATGATCAACCTGACCATCATCATCATCATCACTATCTTGACAATGATCATCATCATCATCTTAATTGTTATTATCATTAACATTATTATCATCATCATCATAATCATCATCATTATCATCATCATCATCATTATCATCATCATCATCATCATCATCATTATCATCATCAGTATATGGTTCTCTGTTCGTTATTGCAACAAGGTCATCGGCTCACAAGATTTTAGATTATTGCCGTGCCGCTCAGTATTTTTAAAATTTTGAGCAAAAACTTTAAATATAAGAGCCGTTTTAAAAAATGAGTTGCATTACCGAATGCATTGAAAAAGAGGGTTTATGCATGGGGATCATAAAAATGACATTCGGGTATGTTTTTTTTATTCATTTTTTTCAAATCAAGCTATAAAGTAAAGAAATCCACATTTCTAAATTTTGACATTTTTCATATCATCGTGGCGTTTTTATGTTTCTGAGTTCAAGTAAACTTTATATAATATATTAGTTAACAAATCTCGTACTTGGGTTTTCAAAAAAAAAACGTTTAACAAAATTTTTTTTATATACATTTTTAAGAAAATTTTTTCTGCTGGATATAATATTTACTAAATCGAATGTCTAAAAAGTATAAACTTTGCTTTTAAAACGAAAAAGATTTTTTCGAAATTTGGTTTTAACTGTGAGGTGTTGCATTACCGAAACTACTCAGGTTGCATTACCGAACTTTCTGGTTTTCGCTTATAAATGAATTTGAAAGGTCTATTTTGCAATCATTTTTAAGTTACTATTTTAAGATAAAACTTATTTACTCTTTTTTTATCCAAAAAATAAAATCGATGCATATAATAATTGTAAAATCGAACGGAAATTATTCAAAGTCTCAGAGGCATGTTATAGGACTTTCAGGGGAATGAAACGGACAATCAATTAAAACAGGGGAAATTTCTTATTACAGAATATAAAACTATATATTGAACGTTTATGTAAATAAATGTTAAATAAATAAATAAAGCTTTTAATACAACGTAGTTATAGTTAACAAATGCGCTCATTTTGAATACACAAATAACACTATTTTTGATTATTTTAAAATAAAAACTTTACAACAATCTTCTGACATCTTTCTTTAAATCAAAGTAATAAATTTTTCAAGTATTTTTAAACTAATTTTAACTTTATGAAAAAAATACACTCAGCAAATTGTTGTTTTAAACAATCTTCCCAGCAAAAATTTTACAGCGGAATTTTAGTAGACTTTTATAGGCATTTTAAGAGTTTCCCGCTTTTTTTCCACTGTGAAAAGGCTCATTGGTTACATAGTGGACCACAATTGGCAGTCGCCATATTGGCTAGCCAACAACTAGCTTTTATATTACATGTTGAAGAGTTATTGGCTAGCCACTTTTAGCGAATCCCTTAAGAAACCTATGAGCAAAACTCTAATTAACTGCTCAAAATGCTTATATAGGTCCATTGCAAATCCACATTAAAATAATTGCTGGGTTAATAAAAATATAATTGGTCATCATTTTCACAGATTTTTATAAAAACACAGTTATTCATAGTTTGTTCATATATAAAAGTTCAAAAGTGTTTCATTAATTAAGTTCATAGCCTTAACCAGAGAGACTGATACTATACTATTTAGTAAAATAGTGGGTTTTGATCACTGTTTTATTAATTTTTAAAAAGTAATTGTATATACCAGTTGAAAAAAAAACCATGATTTTTATCATTAAGTACATATCTTATTTAACTTAATTGATCATAAGTTTGAGAATCATAGTTTTTTACATGGATGCTTTAAATGCAAAGGAAAATTACCATTTTAATGTGGTCTTGTCGACGACACCCTCTAACACAAATTTTTGAAAACTTTACTTTGCAGCAATTTTATTGATTATAACTAAATTTTTAAAAATCCTGATAACATTTTTTTATTGCAAAATTTATATAAATTAAACAGAAGAGAATG